TGACGCTTCCACTGGATCAGAGCATGACATTTTACCCTTTCAAGCTGAGTGGTTATCGAAAGGGAGAGAGCTGGAAAGATTTTTCAAATACATTGAGGAACTATTGTAATTCTCAATGGATGTAAAAACAGACTTTGTTTGCTTGCAGTTTGAGGTGAAGAAAACATTACTTTGAGAAGCTCCACAGGTCATTAATGGTGGCGCGTTAAGCCAATCAGAAATACTATCAGATCCCCAAATGGGTACATTTTCTATGTCTACATTTACGCGCAGGCCAGGTAACTTATAGGCCTACTTCTATGCGTGCGAGTCCTAACTCCACATTGACAGGAGCGCTCCAAACAAAAATACAATGATTAAATTGACAACTCGTAAATGGAATGAAATAAACCAAAACTTGTTTCTCACAAGTGTAGCATAGGTTGTGCACTCTGCAAACATTGTGTCCACTCCGACAATGATAACGGGAAGACTGGAATAGTAATTTATTTTATATTTTATTTTACCTTTATTTATCTAGGCAAGTCAGTTAAAAACAAATTCTTATTTACAATGACCGGCCAAACCCGGACGACGCTGGGCCAATTGTGCGCCGCCCTATGGGACTCCCAATCATGGCCGGTTGTGATACAACCTGGAATCGAACCAGGGGGTCTGTAGTGACGCCTCAAGCACTGAGATGCAGTGCCTTAAACAGCTGCGCCACTCGGGAGCCCGAATGCATTAACATAAATTACCGTAACCAAAATAACAAACATTGTATATTAGAAATTATAGGAATTAACGGTAAATGTACTACTGGTGATATATGTAATGGGGAATTGATATACACTAACAATCAAACGCAAACAATTCACACCATGAAGTTATGAAACAATGAATGTGCACAAATTGGCGGGAGAGGGCGCATTCTGGAGAGAGAAGTGCATTGTGCATCTGGGCGCATGGTCAATCCGACGGTGATACGGCCTCAGCAGAAGTCAGAGCATTCATACTTCTTCCGCTTCGTGGAGCAGTGCAGAGCTGTTGTCAAGGAAGTGAGTTTGTGTTTTCTACAGGATGTACCGCCCCCACCTACCGTCAACCAATCATGTCAATTCTGAGTTATACAGAGCCCTCTGCATTGTTACAACATATGGGAGTCGCATGGCGATGCGGTACAGAACTCGATTTGGCCTCTGCATGCCTCTGGAGGCTCCGCAATTGCGTCACATCCTCTATATGGAGCCTCCAACCACATTTTCAGATCAAGCATAAAATGGCTTTTAGTCTAGGCCTCCGCAATGGATTAGTTCACTGAGATGGATTAGTTTGATGAGATGGGCGCAAATATACACTATGTTCAAAAGTTTGGGGTCACTTAGAAATGTCCTTGTTTTCGGAAAAAAAGCAATTTTTTTGTCCATTAAAATAACATCAAATTGATCAGAAATACAGTTGAGACATTGTTAATGTTGTAAATGGCTATTGTAGCTGGAAACGGCTGATTTCTTTTATGGAATATCTACATAGGCGTACAGAGGCCCATTGTCAGCAACCAACAGTCCTGTGTTCCAATGGCACGTTGTGTTTGCTAATCCAAGTTTATCATTTTAAAAGGCTAATTGAACATTAGAAAACCCTTTTGCAATTATGTTAGCACAGCTGAAAACTGTTGTGGTGATTTAAAGAGACTAGTTGAGTATCTGGAGCATCGGCAATTGTGGGTTCGATTACAGGCTCAAAATGGCCAGAAACAAATAACTTTCTTCTGAAACTCGTCAGTCTATTCTTGTTCTGAGAAATTAAGGCTATTCCATTCGAGAAATTGCCAAAAACTGAATTTGTACAACGCTGTGTACTACTCCCTTCACAGAACAGCGTAAACTGGCTCTAACCAGAATAGAAAGAGGAGTTACATTAGAGTGCCCAAACTTTTGAACGGTAGTGTATATATTTGTTACTGCTCGACTAAAGAAATCTTGGTCGACCAACAGCCTAACGACCAAACAATCGACCAGTCGACTAATTGGGGTCAGCCCTAAAGGGTTTCATATTCACCACCTACACCTATTTAATGTCTTATCTTTGTAATACTGTTTTCATTATTCACATTGTGTTGAATTGATGAGTAACCTACAATGGTAAAAAAAAAAAAAAAACAGAAATTGTCTAAAGTTCTTGAAGTTAGTTCTGGGCCTACTGATGTTTACAATGCTTTTGTGTACAAAAATAAAATGGATGGCCTAATTATTATTACTGTTCTGTATTTAATTTTTCAACTAATTTTCTTGCTGTCATATTAGGCTACTATGTGTGGTGCATTAGAAGCCTACAGTTTGCAACAGTTTTTCTAGTGGAAATAATTGGTTTCCTGTGTCTAGCTAAATTAAGTTAAATGGCTCAAGCCCCCAACCCCCCTCAAAAAATGTTTTAATGGGAAAATGATTTTAGTGTTGTTTTTTCTCATCTTTGGAAGGGATTATTGCGCTGCAAACTGCAGGGCTCTGGAGTGGTTAACCAGGGATAGTGCTTATTGGATTGGATTACTCTGCTGCGGCGAGGAGCTCCATAAGTAGCTCATGTGCTAGCTTGAAAGCTGCCGAGCACAGAGCTACAGCCAGATCCACCAGGAGCATTGGAGGCGGTGTTATCTTCCAGACAGACAACCCTGTAATTCCCTAAACAGTGATTACGGCATCAAGACAAGGAAAACAATGAACCTAATACTAACTTTTCCCACCCGTCTCTTTCTCTATCTCACCCAGATTCCTTCCACAACTTGTGTGGAGTGACCAGAGATCACCCAAACCGATGAGGTTTTACTGATCCAGTTAAGATTGCGTTCCCTTTTCCACATTTGACAAGGTAAGGTTTCAGTGAGCACAATACCCTGTATTTCTACTCATTCTACACATCAATCTTGAGACTCACTCCACAGTCCTGCAACATAGCTACAATCAGACTGCTCTCAGGTCTGCAGTTTTTCAGCGGCCATTTCATTACAAAATCTCAATAAGATATTGATAATAAATTAGTAAATGTAACAGAAGTGGTACGACGCATATGAGTAACCTAGGCTGAGACCGGAAGAGCCAATGCCTAGGCCTTGACTTATTAGGCTGATGCGCTCTTCTGCTGCACCATAAACCTGAGTTCGAACCCCATGGGTCATATTGGTTCCATGAACTGGATGAGTCTCTGTCAGGAGGTCAAAGCGGGATGAAGTGTCATAGAGGTATCCCTGAGACCTGAAGAGCAGCATTGGCTCCTGAGTCAATGCCTTCTGATGCACGGAGGACCCGTTGGTCCCATAAACAGTAGGCCTAAATACATATGGTATAACAACTGCATAGACCAACATGGAAGTGTAATATTTATCATTTGTAATTTCAAAGTCTGTCAGATGCAGACAATTTGCCAAATAATATTTTATTATTGATTAGTATACAATTATTTAATATTTGTAATACGTTAACACTGTGGAACCATATACAATCCCCCATAACCAGCTCCATCACAGCATCATACCTACACATTTCGCTGTCTGTCATAAATTGTTGCACTGATTAGTTGTCATTTATAGGGCTAGTTTCTGCCCACTTGTTATTTGTCCTTTTAGACTTTTGTAATGGCAGTAGAAGTTTTGCCCATGCAGTGAAAATGCATTCAGTAATTTCTGGTTACTACTGGTAAGCAAGATTAAAAAACTAAATATGGTTGTGTAGGATTTCACCACTTATTAACATGTTATGAAAAATGTATGCACTCACTTAACTGCATGTCGCTCTGGATAAGAGCGTCTGCTAAATGACTGAAATGTAAAATCTTATAACTTTCACTTCGAACTTCAAGCCTGTATGGCAGGTGAGGTTACAGTGTACACTATCTGTTACAAGTTGATTCTGCCCATGAGTAGCAGGAGTAGTTTAGGCCTGTGCTGAGAGTTACAAACATGAGATAATATGAAGATACATCCGAATCCCATTTTGAAAGTGGAAGGTATACTTCCGAGGAATATTTCAACGCTATAAAGACCTCAGACATTCATATTTTTGTAAGACCTAATCTACAGACTCTTATATAACTGTACATCTGAATGAAGTCTTTTAGAAAGGTAACCGTGAACGGATAGCTTTCTTTCTGCTTGTTTGGTGTAAAGTGTTCCCAATTCCTAGATTATGGATGTAGGAATTCCATCCATGCGTCACATAGCACTGATGTGTTGCAAAAGGTTGTGAGAAATATGAATCTGTCAGTACTGTAAACTGGAAAGCAGTCGCGCTTTAAGGAAGTAGGACATCAATGAATATCTACTCCCCCATCCCGCGACAAAAAACAGGTCCCTGTCTTAATTGTTTTACTTTAACAAGCATTTTTATATAAATGAACTGTTCGGTCATCGATGTGCATTATCGAGGGTGTGTACCCTCTCTGTCATCATTCTGAAGTTGGAAGCAAGAGTGATTCAGGTTGTTATGATATAATACATCGGAGCATATTCATTTGATCAATATTAGGGCACTGTAAAAAATAAAATAAAAATAGTAATAATATGTTACTATAACTAACCACATTTTCATTAATTAAACAGGTTTTTCGATAAAAAAAACCCAACAACAACTAATTACTACAATGTGAACTGTATCAATTAGGCATAGGCTATAAGAAGGTGATGAGTATAGTATTTATTTTCTAGTTGACAACATATTGTTGTCACATCCCGTGTAAGTGACCTGGATTTATTACGTTTAATGCACTCAGGGAGGTGAATTTAGATGTTCCTCCTTAAAGTTTTATCTGCGATATCTGCGATTGCCAAGACTGTATGTACCGGGGGACGGCCTCGCACACATGCACCCGTCAAAACAAGAGCTATTCCGGTGGTGTCCTCTAGCTTCTGAACACATAATCAAAGGGATTAGCGTTACGGAAACATGCGTTTGCCCGAGTCTATCAATGAAGCAATCCTGAGAACACCACAACGCTGACTGCCGTTTTGTTACATTCTAGCGGAAAGAATGTCGGAAAGGGCCGATGATGACGTCAGGGGGGAGCAGCGCAGAGTGGCCAGGCAGCTAAAGCAGCAACAGCAGCAGATCCAGCGGGGAGAAGGCTCCACAGCAATGGCGACTGTTGCGGAGCGCAGATCCATGCCTAGTCCAGAAATAATGTTGGGACAGCCTTGGAGCAGCTGGGTCAATGCTGCCAAACTCCACGGCAACGACGGTGAGTGCTCGTGCGTACTGGATGTGTGTGTAGAATCGAGACATAACGATGATCGTGAGCTTTTTTGCCGATTGCGTGCAGTTTTTGGAATATGAAGAAACGCTACTGGTAACAACAGCAGAAGCAAGCAAGTGCAACTATTTATCTCAGTGTGTAATCGATTGCCTCTTTTAGGTGCTGAATCAGAGGAAAGTTTGAAAGAGTTCGGGAAAAATCGAGAAGCCATGCGACTGTGCAGAGATGGTGAGTGTTCTCGCTTTTGTCAAAGCCAAGGTGTGTTTTGGATTTGTTGGGTTGCACCGGCTGAAATCTGGTTGTTCTGTTTAACAAGTGCACCAGACTGACCGGTGACAACAAAAGTCTGATCAATCAATGATATAGCCCAGGAATCTGTGGCCACTAGTTGACACCTTGAAGAGGGGGCTCCTATCCTCTGACCCTAAGTAGGTGCACACCACAGGTAACAACCAGGGCTTATTCAGTGGGGTGGAAAAATATACATGTAATGTAATAAAGCTGAAATGTATGTTTGTCTTACACAACAGAGAATTATAAATCTATTTTACACCATAATTTCTGTCTGACTGTTAAGTATCATTGTGCCCACCTGAAAAAGCCTGTGTGCACGGTTAGGGGATGGGCACACTCAGTGTGGTGATGGCACTTTCACAGTTAAAATGGGTGCAATGAGGCTTTCATTAAAGCTAGAATCTTAATTGAAACAATAAGAAAGCGGACTCCCCGCCTCTGTTTTGGTTAAAAGCTGAGGGAAGGGCCTGGAGAAATATAACTGTTCGCAAATTCATAGAACAAGTCATAGATGCAAGGACTAACCATCCATGATATCAGACTTAGAGTTTTATTCATGTTTTGAGGCTATACAGTGTTTGTTTACATTTACATTGTTTACAAACATTGGACTAAAACAAGCTTATAAGCTATATTCTTCAAGAATCAATGCATATATATATATATATATGTGTGTGTATATATCTTTTTTTTTAAAGTCCAAAAATGAATGTAGCAACTAAGGATTCTAGCTTTAAAGTGGCAATATGTAACTTTTTGGGCAACCTGACCAAATTCACATAGAATGTAAGTTATAGGTCTATAATTCTACTTGAAATTAAGTCTATGAAGCGGTAGATCTGTTTTATGTGTGCTATTTCTAAGCTTCCCATTCTTAAGTTTAGTTTTAGTGTTTTTTTTTTTAACTTAAAGTTTTGTACACCAGCTTCAAACAGCTGAAACAACAATATTTTTGATTTTGGAAAATATATTTCACAGCATTTTAGATAGTATAGTGTAGAGATTCATTTTACCATCTTATTTTGTCACATAAACTGAAATTAGGCAAACTATTCGAGTTTTGGCAACCAGGAAATTGCGCCGCGATTTCTGCATAGTGCAACTTTAAGAATAACTGCTATTCTTGTTGGAAACGGTCTAAAACCTCAGATGGCTTTCCTATGTTAGTTGAATATTTATAGTGCTACTAAAGTACTACACATTCACATCTTTGTTTAGCACATATTTATATTAGCACACTCAATAAAGTACTCATAATTTACAATATTAACAACAAAGGATGACCTTACTCTTTGTTTTGGCTGCTATGATCTATAATTGATTTATTACATGGGTTGGTGTCAGTGATCTGATCAAGGCTGTCTTGAAATGTTAATTACCATGCTATAAAATTAGAGAAGCCCAAGGCTGTATGTGCAACACTGACATAACAAAAAAATTGAATGCAGTCAAACGCATTTAATTATATTTTGCCACATAGCCATCAGAAGGCATAGTGGTCCTTTTGCAAAAAAAATCTGAAGAATATTATGTTTTTTAGTAATGGTGACAAAAACGGTGCTGTAAATAGTCACTCTAGGCTGAAGTTACCCGTAAGCACAAATCTAGGATCAGCATAGCCAATCCTAACCTTTAGTATAGTAACAAGATACTGTCCTCAGTGTAAAGTCACGCTACAACTTGATTCCCAAAAAGCAACTTGTAAAAGTAAGCACTATACATGTAAGGACATCATGTACTGCACACAGTCAGTCTAGTCTTTACTCACTGTTTGGGAAGTAAGAACGGAGATGAGAAAATAGTCTGTTCTATTCATTAAATATCTATAAGGTGAAAGCTAAATTCTCCCTTAATAAGTTACCCCACTTATAGTCAAGAGAGCAGGGGAAACGCCTCGATCACACCTACAGTGTCATTGCGTTTTGGTACACCAGAAGTACATTCATTTCCAATGGAACACTGTTTGCCTTGCAGCATTGCGTTGCAGAGGCAGTTGCAGTGCGTTCTGTGTGTTGCATATGTTAGATTTCAAGAACGTATGCATCAAATTGTATGCGTAGACGGCTTGACGGAAATGGTCGCAGAAGGTGAATGTTGAACTTTTGTTGCACACATATCCAGATGAGGTGTGATTGAGGCTAAACTCACCCCTGAAGTCCTCTATAGCTGTCATGTGTCATAGGCCTACACTTGTGATGTCAGCAATACGTAGGCAGCTCATTTCAGACTTTTCCAAATAGCTTTTTTTCATGTTGAAATGGAAGGGGTTATATACTGTAGCCTACTTGTCAGGGCACTTATCTAACAGTGCATTTGCATTGGCAAACAATGGTGCCAGTGTGCGCACCGCAGTGACATTGCACAATTAAGAACAAATCACTTGTATGCTAGAGGTCTCACAGAAGCCATAACAGAAGACCAGACCTGTCTGATTTACACACTTATTTCCAGGCGTAAAAGGAGCCAAAACTGTTCAGCAAAGCACCTGGATCCAGACAATTTTGACATGACCTTCATTTACATCTTAACTTTTTCTCAGGAAGACCAAGAAGCTTGTTGACAGAATGTGATCAGGAAAGTCACTGTTGTGCTACTGCATTAGTCCAGCTACAATAGCCTATTATTACAGTGATTCAGGAAACCTTTTCTTTGTGTCATTTAGTGCTTGTTGGATCACTAAGAGGAGTATGGACCAGAGCTCGGTTTGTGTAGAATATGTAATTGAAATGGGGATAATGTTGGCTCCAAAGGTTCGAAGACAGTTCCATTTTAGTGAGAATGCTAATTCAATTGGTTGTTTTGATACGTTTGGTGCCAATGTGGAAGATAGTTTTGTCAAACCATATATCTACACACCTGATGGGGACTGAGAATGTATGCCACTGCCCGCTGATTCTGCAGAGGTGAAATGTGGCAGTGTCTCATAGTAGGTGTTGGCACTGTGAAACAGCACCAGCTACATGTCTGAAGGCCTCAGAGTCTGGGCCTTGTTCGTCAGGCAGAGGATTCCGGAACTGTTTGAAAGGACCTGAACAGACGAAGTGAAATATCACTTCTTTTTGAAAATGAATGGAAATATTTGCTCATTTTAGTAGAATGAGAACATGACCTGAACAAGACCCAGATGTTCTGAACTTTGTTTTTCCCTAATTGTTTGTGTGACCTGCAGGATCCAATGGGATGATATTAGTGCAGTAAACTGCTGTCTGTAGGAAAACAGGGGAGCACTGATCGTGTCCTAAAAACATCAATAGAATAGAATACGACTTTATTGTGTCCATTGGTTAGAACAGAAATGTGTCTTCTGCCTTTCCCAACACCCAGAGGTACACACACACTCGTTGAGAGGCACAGGGTCAGCAGCAGTGCAGCATCCCTGGATGGAGAGCAATTGTGGGGGGCTAAGTGCCTTGCTCAAGGGCACAACTGCAGGAGATGATACATGGGATCAGAGACCAGCAGGCTGCCAGTTCAGTTCCATTTCCATTTTTCTGTTGACCAGCCTAGGGCTTTAACCAGCAACCTTGCGGCTGCTGGGCCTCTCTAACCTTGAGGCTACTGCCACAAATGCCTTCCTTTCCTCATTCTCTCTACCTCATCACCATGTATAGGTGCACGCACTGGATAGGGTTTCCACCATAATGGCCTCACCTATCACAGCCTCACCTATTGATTACAGTTCAGTGGTCTTGAAAGAAAAGAGATGAGTACAGGACGGCTGATGCTAGGGTGTGTCCTTAGTTGGACTGCAGGCCTACTGGCTCCACACACACCAGCTCCTCTCCTGTGTTTTATATCACATTGGGTCCACAAACTCCTACATGCTCATCAGGTCTGGAGTGTGTCCTCTTGTCTTTGTCTCCTAGCACATTGTCATTCAGACCAAGCCTTGTGAAATGGGGGTACTATGGCTTACCCTGTGGATGACTACACCACTACCATGACTCACCACATATCTCCCTGGTGGAAAAGCCGTTCCTACGCACGCACACACATACACACACACGCTCCAGAGTCCAGACATGACACACTCACATATTGGAACATGACTGAGGGATTCTCTCCTCTGATCTGCTTCTGAGTTCACTCACTCCCATATCTCTGACTCGCCTTCACCTATTTGACTGATAGCAGACTGAGAGGGGGAGGCTGGGGAATGTAGTGGCAGCAGGTCAGAGGTTGCTGCCCTGTGTCTGTGTGTGCAGTCAGCCTCTGTGCTGTGTGCCTCCAATAGCTGCTACTACTCTACCTAGATCATTCATCACTGCCATGGAAAAGGATGGTGAAATTAACTTCTCTCTCTCTCACACTCTCACTCTCACTCTCACTCTCACTCTCACTCTCACACACACACCTTCACCCGCTCTCCCTCTCTCATCTCCATACCACACAAGTAAATGGAGAATGAAATGGCACAATGGAGCTTCACCACTTTTGAAGTCAGGCGCTTCAAGTGCAGTGCCACTGCCATGTCCTGAATGCAGAGTGGACTGGTGATTCAGCTCATTTAAGCGACCAATGGACACCCATGATAGCCAGTGTGAGCTTTTGCATAGGAATTTAATGCGACTCCTAATTTTTCCTATGAAAACAATTTCACCTTGTCAACTTTGTTTTCCACTCATTTAGATATGAAGGGTTTGTTCTTAAGAAGGTACGGTTGCATTTAAATCATTCGGTAGTAGACCGTAACTCTGTTTGGTAGGCCTATGAACTCTTTATATGTTAATTAACCAGACATTTTCATCTGAGCCAGTAGTCGATACTTCCACCTCAGTGGTAGGAGCTGACACTTAGTGAAGTGGGCCCAGACACTAACCCTGTGTGAAGTATGGGTCGGCTTGTTAATTCCCGCTCCACAGCAGCAAATGACTTCCCTAAGAGCACAGGTAAGCTTTTGTGTGGACATCGCTTGGTGACGTTTCAAGTGTCCTCAGCTGTGTGTGTGTTTACATTTTTTACATTTGAGTCATTTAGCAGACGCTCTTATCCAGAGTGACTTAAAGTTAGTGAGTGCATACATTTTTCATACTGGCCCCCCGTGGGAATCGAACCCACAACCCTGGCGTTGCAAACGCCATGCCCTACCAACTGAGCTACAGGAGGCCTCGTCTGCCATGGCGGTCAGGCGGGCGCTCTGGGTGGTTTCATAATTAGCCCCTTCATTAGCTCTTTGTAGTTCTCCTTGTGAGGGTCTCATCTTCTAACGTACCCCTCTGATTTCCATGATCATGAGGCTTTCACCAAAAAAGGAGGGAGTCGTTTGTGAGTGGTGGTGTTGAATCCATCAAACAACCAATCGGATCTGTTTACCTAGCATTTAACTAACACAACGACTGACAAAGGTTAAATATTTTGACATTGTTAACTGCATTCAACAGGTAATGTGGTTTTCTTGACACGTAAGATAACATGCATTCCTGTGAATGATGGTGTCCTTTTTTGCCTGGATGAATTTATTTATTTGAATATTTGCAGGTATGGTACATTAAAGCCCAAATGGCAGTCTCTCTATCGCAGTTGCTCTCCATTCTCTCTTGTTTATTTGAAGTCGCATATCATTCAGAGACTCTGCCACTGGCTGTATTTCTCCTGCCTACTTTGTTGTGTAGCGAGTCTGTGTGTGTGTGTGTTTGTTTCTGCAGCAGGTAACCTTTGGAGTGCTGGCTCGGTCCTCTTTATCATTTACATTTACATTTTAGTCATTTAGCAGACGCTCTTATCCAGAGCGACTTACAGTTAGGTATCACTAGGTAGTTTACGTAAACGTAGTTTCCTCTACTGTGAAATGGGGCTAGTACCTAGGAGTACCCTCTGCGTTTGTAATCTCTGCACCTGTACAATCAGTTTTTCTCTGCAATGATTTATCAACCATAACCATCCTAGAGTATTTAATGCTAGTCTCCATCTCCCTCCATAACACAGCATGGTTTGAAATGTTTCATTCAGCAACTGCCTGTGTCTACCTCCTACAGTTTAGGCCAGATACTGGTTATCTTCATCCTGTTAACCTGTGTTTTTCTCTCCCCCATGGAACCACAGACATGCCCATATTTGGCCAGTGTCCAGCACAGGATGACTTCTACCTGGTGATGTGCAGCCACTGCAGTCAGGTGGTGAAGCCCCAGGCCTTCCAAGCGCACTACGGTAAGTCTCTCACACACACACACACACACCACTCATGCAAACATTGTCCCTAAGGGCTGATCCAGGGTCGGGGTTTATATTGTTTTGTTTTATAGCTCTCCTGATGGGAAAGGTTTGGGCAGGGAGAGAACTAGGGATGGGAATTGCCAGGGACCTCACAATACGATATTATCACAATACTTAGGTGCCGATATGTGTTGAGATTCTCACAATTCTATATGTATTGTGATTCGATACTGTGATTTTATTTGCGAAACATGTCTGCAGCAGAGGGACAAGATAGAGCCATGAGAAAACAACATGTTTTGATCAGTCAAATTGGCTACCTATTTAAAAAGATGGAGAATAAGCTATGAAGGAAAAATAGTTTTGGTGCAGGTACAGCCAATTAGCACAAAAGTAATATTGCAATATTGTCAAAACGATACGATATATCATCAGAAATATCCCGATATGGAACTGTATTGATTTCTTTCCCCCATCACTAGAGAGAACATTCTAGACTTGTGCTTTGGGGAAATCTGCTTGGCACTAATCTCTGTCAGGATGGCACACTACTGTGTGTGTGTGCGCATGTTCAAACACTATCAACCTCAGGAGGATTAAAAGCACACCTCCCGTTCTCCACCTCTAACATGAGAAAGGAGCACTCCGGCTTTTGATTTCCACCGCCTGAGACTTGTGTTTTCAATTCTCCTGTTAATATTTGATTTGCTCCTCCAAGTCCATTCCTCTGTGTGAGTGCAGCCTAATTTATTGTTTTAGCATGTTAAGCTGTCCCTGAGACATCTGAAGATGTCTAAAACATACTAGTTTCCCTCTCCACAGTGTGTTAGTTCTTAAACTGGCTCTTTGGCCGGCACGCTGGAAAGAATTGAATTTATTATGGATTTCAGAATCAAGGGATCGCTTTGCTGTGTATCTCGTTAAAACCAGCCTGTTGAACCCTCTATGCACACACTTGCGGCACGCACACAGACACACACACACACACACCCCTGTGCTTCAGTGCAGTTAAGGGAACTGCTCTGTCCACAGACACAGTGAGTGCCTATGAGCCAGTGTGGTGGTGTTAAATGTAAACTCTCTCGCTCTCTCTTTCTCTTTCTGGTTAGTTCCTCTCCACGGTGGGCTGTTATGCGTCAATTGGCATGTATAATTCATTTATTCCAGCTGTTCTTTAGGTCAAAGTTTGGAGACCTTTTAAAATTGATTTCAGTGCACTCTTCCACTTACCGTTATCATTGATACCTCTAGTAAAGAAGAGCAAGGTGCTTTCTGTTGTTCCTTGAGCCATTTCATTTAAGGATTTTTGTCAATGAAATAGCCTAGTCTAAACTGGCAGATAACCTTATGTTATGGGTCATTCTTCAATATTTTATCGTTTTATCATGTTTTCTAACACATACTGTATATTGGATAGGTCAGTGTTCCGACTCCTCACTACATTGACAGAGGGAGAGCGTTCTAATCTTTTAGGCATGCTTTCAGAGGCTTTAGTATGGATCTTTCAGTCCTTATAAACTAATGAGTTTGTAAAATTGCATGCAAGCAGTTTGCTTTTTAAGCTAAATTGGAATATTAATTTTCTAGTGTAATCCTGGTGAGCCTCTAGCCTATATCTTCCTGTGGGTGTCAAAACCAATGCCTCAATGGCACATCCTTCCATTTCTACTCTGGGCTGATCACTTAAGTCCATCTGTGTCCCAATATGCATACATTACTACACTGCACTTTATGTTGGTGTGGACATTGGGATCAATACCATTAAAAGTGTCCAGTCAAGGCCACAGGGCTTCAAAGGAATCACTACTGTCCTTTTTACTATGGGGTGTTTGTTTCTTTCTCAAAGGAAAGATTGAATGAAAAGCTAGGCCTATAATATTTCATAACTGGTTGTTGCTGGTTATACAGTTATCAGGATTGGCCACAAGATGGAGACACAATAGCACTCAAGTGTCATTGGGAACACTCATTGGTCGTGTGTCAAGAGTCAAGACAGCAATCATGGACTAATGGCACGTGAATAGATTAAGCAACTACAGAAGTTCATACTTTCCACAAATTGAGGTTAGCCTAGTGCTGGTGTGGTTGCACCTGACTACTATAGCTTAGTAGTTCATTAACCTCTACGGGATCAATTTGTAAGTTGCTCTGGATAAGAGCGTCCGCTAAATGATGTAAATGTAAATGGGATCGGTGTCCCGTATACGGGACAGTTGAGCTAACGTGCGCTAATGTGATTAGCATGACTGTTGTAAGTAACAGCAAACTTTCAAGGACATAGACATGTCTTATATGGGCAGAACGCTTAAATTCTTGTTAATCAAACTGAACTGTCCAATTTACTGTAGCTATTGCAGTGAGAAAATACCATGCTATTGTTTGAGGAGAGCGCACAACAACAAAAAACGTATCACGCCAATTGGTTTGATACATTCACCTCTGAAGGTAAATAATGTACTTACATTCAGTAATCTTAATCTTGCTCTGATTTGTTATCCTGAGGGTCCCAGAGATAAAATGTAGCATAGTTTTGTTTGATATTCAAATGTAACTGGGTTCTACAGTTTGAACCCCTGTTGTCTCTGGCTCCACACCCACCCCTCCCGGCCATCTAGATGTGTGAAAGTTAGTGTATAAGCTAATGATCTGTTATGTATGACATTACTGGGAGTGTGTAAACTTACATTTTGTATTACCATATCATTTTTGTATGTTCTCTATAGTTATGTACTTGAAAATTTATCAATTCGGCACATTTGGGCAGACTTGATACAAAATAGTCCAGTATTGCAATGCTTCATTGGATCAATCTGAAACTTTGCGCACACACTGCAAAATCTAAATTGCGCCTAAACAGCAATATTATATTGTGGCCTTTCTCTTGAATTTCAAAACATGTTTTTTTGTTTGTATTATCTTTTACCAGATCTAATGTGTAATATTCTCCTACATTCATTTCACATATCCACAAACTTCAAAGGGTTTCCTTTCAAATGGTATCAAGAATATGCATATCCTTGCTTCAGGTCCTGCACTACAGGCAGTTAGATTTGGGTATGTCATTTTAGGCGAAAATCTGATACTTAAGAGGTTAACAGAACTTCCACTTTAGATGTTGTGCAATAACATTAAATTAGATAGGATGAATCTGGCTTGGATCATTGTCTTAAGTCAGATAGTGTGACTATTCCACCTGCACTGATCTGTCTCGGGTCTCGCAAAGGGTAATGGGATAGATCAAAAGTAGTTTGGCTACAATGTGCTGTCTAATGTGCTAAAATATCACCTAGGTGACATCGTCTGCTGAAAAACAGTCTGAATTAACCTAAGCTAAAACAATAAAAATGTCAACGTTTTACATATTTTTTACATCTAGCTAAGGATTTTTGTGCCTCACCGAGCAGTATTTCTGAAGTTTGGCAGTGGGTTGAAAGCTAGCATAAATGTGTCCAACATAGCTTGCTAGCTGAGCCTGTCAATGAAATGATGCCGCTAACCAACCAGTGCCTATTTCATGGAGTTAATTGAGAGCGCAGTGATAGAAAAAATGAGGAACTATGTTTTCATGTTTGAATGACGGATTGTCGGGAATCTCAACATTTTAGGATGAGTTCCACGTCCTACAGGACAGATCGGTTGAGGGACGAGCGTCGCGTAGGAGTGATGCGATTTGACGTAAGACAATGGTCTTGGATAGCTCACATCCACTGGTACCACAGACTGTCTGTCTCATCTTCATAGTGATAGTCTCAGTGAATTGTAGAGATAGACTAGTCATTATGAAGCTCCATAGTAGGCCTGTTCATTCATTAGTCTTCCAGTGTACAGTGTGTGAACGCAGGACTCGCCAGTGCCTCTCTGAAGACTACTGGACTTGTCTGGCCAGTGAAACATTAGTGGACTTGTCTTCTATAGAGTAATGAGCTCATCTCTGCAAGGCACCAAAGACGGACCTTCATTTTCTGCACTGGTTGTAGTCTGTAGTTTTACATGACTTTCATTCCATGAAGCCACTGTGTTGCTTTGTTGTGTTGCTGCTGGTAGGAAAGGCATTAGCTGAGAGAGTCCGCTAAAGTTCAGTGCACTGTGATTCTATATGCTGTGATTCTTCTCTCTCTGAGGGCAGATCCACTGAGCTTAACACAATCTAGACTGTTTCACCTCATTCTCCTGTATTGCTTGAAGCCCATCCATATGGTGTATGGCAGGGGTAGGCAACTAGATTCAGCCGCAGGTCGATTTTTGTCGGAGTGAATGGGTGGGGGGCCGGAACATAATTTGTATAATTTTTTTACTTTTTTTAATCGACCACAACTAGGCCCAAAAAGAGATTGTATTTGAAAATAACAATAATTTCATACCTTGATTACATTGACACACGATCACATGCATACATACAGGTAACTGGCAAAATAAAGAAACCACCAACATAAAGTGGCTTAATAGGGCGTTGGACCGCCACGTTTTAAAAAACAAAAACGGGGATACCAAAAAACAATGCTTGCGGGATGGTTTTGGCCGACAGGCCGCCTGTTGCGGTCCCCTGGTGGATGGTGTGTTTTGACAGTGGGGCTATATGCAGAGTTATATGCTCTGATGAGAACAGGCCTGCACTGTTGACAGGACTATGTAAATACACCATCCACACCATATGAGGATGCAATCCACCAACTGGTTGCTCTAAAGCAGATCTGGTTTTATTAACCGATTTCTACAATAGTGTTGTCAAGGTGTAAGAGGATATTTTAAGGCCTATTCCTTTTGATTGGGCCTTTTTGTTTTATGTGTAGCCTACACTGAGTGTACAGTGTGTAGGCCTATGCTGTGTTCCGGGGCCCACTATCCAAAATGTTCCCCAGCCAGCCTGTCTCCTCAGTAGCCAGGGATTCCACGGAGAGAAGATGGTGTGAGAATAGACCATAACACTGCTCCTCTCCTCTCCGTCACTGTTTTCCTGTTCTACTGGTCTGCCAGGACCTCTGTGGCTGGCTGGCTCTCTCAGCGTTTGGCAGGCGTTGTGGGAACGTCACGCTGGGGAAGCCTGCTTGTGCTTGCGTGTGGGTTATTAAGCAACTTCTGAGCTGGACTGAGCAGCAGCGATGGGTTGGGGGGTTGAATGGGAGGAGAGGCTGGGTGCTAGCCTAGCCTGTTAGCAGGAAGACAGTGTGTCATGGGCGGGAGGGTATAAGAGGGAGAGGCCCTGGGGGGAAGCTCCAGCTTGACTCAGGGAGGAGCTTTGTCACAGCAGATAGGCTGGGCTGGTTTAGTCTGTGTGAGGAGGGAGAGGAAAGGCCTGGGGTTGTTGCTCTGTTAGCTAGCTGGTGTAGTGTAGAACTGTGGGTGTGGGGCTAGGAGTGGTAGCTGTGCATTCGGTCCTGCTCTGTTGCTGCTCACCCACTGAGACAGCCTTGGCATGAAGCCCAGATCTGCATGGAGTTAGTTGGAGTTTCGTATCTATGTATATATCTATCTATCCATCTCTCTCTTGTGCTTTCTCTCCATTCTCTTATTTCTCTACTCTCTCACTGTTTCCTCTCATACACTGATTGTATGTATATTTCTTGGTTTCTCTGTCTCTCGCTCTCTCCTTCTCTGACACATGCTTTTCTTCATGGCTAGAAGATGAAACCGGTTTTGTAGTGCTGCTCTGCTGGTTGGGAGGAGGTAGTGCAGTCAGTGTTTCTGTTTCTGTTATCTGGCTGTAAAATAGTCAGATTAACCCTCTCAGGACTGGAACAGCCCCGAGTTACTTTGGCCAAAATTCAACACCACATTGGAGTTTGCATTTAGTCTTTAGCTCACTTTCATTTCAGTGCTCTGCTCTTATCTAAAGAGCTGACTCTCTTGCTTTCTCTCACATGCTTTCTTCCTCTCTTACTGTATAACTTTCATTTTCTCTCTTTCTGTTTTACCTTCATGTTCTCTTTGTGTGTGTGTCAGCTTGTGTTCGTTTATGGGGTGTGAGAGCTGCATAACTTTAGAAATAACTGTTCAGGCTAAATACTGCAATACGGTTTTGATTGCACGGGGCCCTTTGTCCTGTTCAGCAGCTGCTGTTTTTTTGTCTTTGTTTAATTATTTTCATCTCTGTCTTTTATCAGTTATAGGAAGCCCAACCGTTCCATTCTGGCTGACAGGAAATCAAGCTCTTGACCCGTGTTTCTAGTTCAGGATGAATTGGCCTGGATCAGCAAGGCTTTCTTTGCTTTTGAAGCTGCCTGCTTTTGACTCTATTAAGGAAATGTTTACCCGTTGATTCCATGCACATTTATAGCAAAAATGTTACTGTTCAAAGGCCCGTTGTTTCAGGAAGAAAGAACACTACTACCTTATGAGTTATGTGCCCGTGTCAAGGAAATCACACTACAAACAATCACCCTCATGCTCTTAAGGAAATCGTGAATGTCATGGATACATTAGAACTAGTAGATATATGGAGGCTTAAATATCCTGATCTAGTGAGGTATACATGGCGGAGACTCAATCAAGCTAGTCGTCTTGACTTCTTTCTTATGTCATTCTCGTTGGCACCAAAAGTGTTGATAGGGGACAGAATGCGGTCGGACCGTCATATAATTGGCATATACATTACTCTTACTGAATTTCCACGTGGGCGAGGATATTGGAAATTTTTTTCACCTTTTAAATGTGCCTTTAGAGGCCATGCAATTCAGTACTCATCTCGAAAACAAAAGCAATTTAGGTCAAAAGAGTCCACACTAACAAAGGAAATAGAAGGTCTAACAGAACAGATAGATAGCAAAAAAAAAATGTAACAAAGAGGCTCAGAATAAATTAGAGGAAAAACTAAAAGAAATGGAGAAACTTATTCAAGAAAGATCAAGTGTAATATATTATAAAAAATAAAGCAAACTGGATGGAATACGGGGAAAAATGCACCAAATTATTTTTTAAATCTTCAACATAGGAATGCTACCAAAAATAATTTATTGAAACTGGTTACAAATGATGGAGTCACCCATGATTCACCAAATTATATTTTGAAGGAGGAATCAAAGTACTTTAAGCGTATGTTTTCGTTTCAGTCGCCTCCACCTCCTCTAACTGAAGCAAATTGTAGAGATTTGTTTTCTATTGATAATGTAACATTAACAGCTATACAGAAAGACTCATGTGAAGGTGAATTAAAGAGAAGGAACTTCTGGATGCAATTAAAGGCTTTAAGTCCGGGAAAACTCCAGGGTTGGATGGCATACCAGTCGAGGTATACCAAACCTTTTTTGATATACTCAGAGGACCGTTATTAGCATGTTTTAACCACTCCTATGTAAATGATAGATTATCAGACACTCAAGAAGAAGGTCTGATTTCATTATTACTGAAACAGGATACAAGTGGAAAATATAAAGATCCAGTCCATTTTAAAAATTGGAGGCCCCTTACACTTCAGTGTTGTGATGCAAAATGTATAGCGCATATAATTAAAAAGGTATTGTCGGACATTATTCATTCTAATCAGACAGGTTTTTTACATGGGCGATACATTGAGATAATATAAGGCAAGTACTGGAAACAATAGAACACTATGAAAAATCTGTGAAACCAGGCCTGCTATTCATAGTAGACTTCGAAAAGGCATTTGATAAAGTACGACTGGGGTTTATATATAAATGCCTGGAGCATTTCAATTTTGGACAATCTCTTTATAAATTGGGTTAAAATCATGTATAGTAACCCTAGGTGTAAAATAGTAAATAATGGCTATTTCTTTTAAAGTTTTTAAACTGTCAAGAGGAGTGAAACAAGGTTGTCCACTATTGGCATATCTGTTTATTATGGCCATCGAAATGTTAGCTATTAAAATCAGATCCAAAAATAATATCAAGGGATTAGAAATCCAGGGCTTAAAAACAAAGGTGTCATTGTACACTGATGATTCATGTTTTCTTTTAAATCCACAACTTGAATCCCTCCACAGCCTCATAGAGGATCTAGATACCTTTTCTAACCGCTCTGGATTACAACCAAATTATGATGAATGTACTATATTACGAATTGGATCACTAAAAAATTAAATATTTACATTACCATGTAGTTTACCAATACAATGGTCTGATGGTGATGTGGATATACTCGGAATACATGTCCCAAATCAAATAAATGATCTCACTCCAATACATTTTAATAGAAAGTTAGCAAAAATAGATAAGATCTTACTACCATGGAAAGGAAAATACCTGTCAATTTGTGGAAAAATCACCCTGATTAACTCTTTAGTATTATCCCAGTTTACCTAACAGTTTTTTAAATGATAGGAGGAAAAAATATTCAATTTTATTTGGAACGGCAAGCCAGACAAAATTAAACGGCCCTATTTATATAATGAATATGAATTCGGAAGACAGAAATTATTCAATATTAAAGCATTAGACCTATCACTAAAAGCTTCAGTCATACAAAAGTTATACTTAAATCCAAAATGGTTCTCTAGCAATGTTCAAGAATGGCCTTTTTCCCTTTATTCAGATTACAACCTCTCACTTTCAGTTATTTGAAAAGGAAATAATCCCCCAAATATCACTATTTCTAAAACAAGGCATCGAAAGTTGGTTGCAATTTCAATTTAATCCTCCAGAAACAACAGAACAAATATTGCAACAAATATTGTGGTTAAACTCAAATATACTAATTGATAAAAAACAATTTTATTCTGACAAAATGTTTAAAAAAGGTATAATCTTCGTAAATGATATTATCGGTAGGACTGGTGGAGTTATGTCGCACACGCAGCTAACAAAAACATATGGATATATCTGCTCTACCCAAAATTACAACCAAATAATTGTAAAGTTGGTTGTTGATCATTGCTAGATAGCCATTTTCAAGTCATGCCATAGATTTTCAAGCTGATTTAAGTCAAAACTGTAACTAGGCCACTCAGGAACATTCAATGTCGTCTTGGTAAGCAACTCCAGTGCATTCAGAAAGTATTCAGACCCCTTTTTCCACATTTTGTTACGTTACAGCCTTATTCTAAAATTGATTAAATACATGTTTTTCCTCATCAATCTACACACAATACCTCATAATGACAAAGTGAAAACAGGTTTTAAGACATTTTTTCAAATGTATTACAAAATAAAAAACCGATACCTTATTTACGTAAGTATTCCAACCCTTTGCTATGATACTCGAAATTGAGCTCAGGTGCATCCTGTTTCCATTGATCATCCTTGAGATGATTCTACAACTTGATTGGAGTCCACCTGTGGTAAATTCAATTGATTGGACATGATTTGGAAAGACACACACCTGGCTATATAAGGTCCCACCGTTGACAGTGCATGTCAGAGCAAAAACCAAGCCATGAGGTTGTAGGAATTGTCCGTAGAGCTCCGAGACAGGATTGTGTCGAGGCACAGATCTGGGGAAGGGTACCAAAACATTTCTGCAGCATTGAAGGTCCCAAAGAACACAGTGGCCTCCATCATTCTTAAATGGAAGAAGTTTGGAACAACCAAGACTCTTCCTAGAGCTGGCCGCCTGGCCAAACGGAGTAATCGGGGGAGAAGGGCCTTGGTCAGGGAGGTGACCAAGAACCACTCTGACAGAGCTTCAGAGTTCCTCTGTGGAGATGGGAGAACCTTCCAGAAGGACAACCATCTCTGCAGCATTCCACCAATCACGCCTTTATGGTAGAGTGGAAGCCACTCCTCAGTAAAAGACACATAACAGCTCGCTTGGAATTTGCCAAAAGGCACCTAAAGGACTCTCAGACCATGAGAATCAAGATTCTCTGGTCTGATGAAACCAAGATTGAACTCTTTGGCCTGAATGCCAAGCGTCACATCTGGAGGAAACCTGGCACCATCCCTACGGTGAAGCATGGTGGTGTTTTTCAGCGGCAGGGAGACTAGTCAGGATCGAGGGAAAGATGAACGGAGCAAAGTACAGAGAGATTCTTGATTAAAACCTGCCCCAGAGCGCTCGGGACCTCAGACTGGGGTGAAGGTTCACATTCCAACAAGACAACAACCCTAAGCACACAGCAAAACAACGCAGGAGTGGCTTCGGGACAAGTTTCTGAATGTCCTTGAGTGGTCCAGCCAGAGCACAGATTTGAACCCGATTGAACATCTCTGGAGAGACCTGAAAATAGCTGTGCAGCAACGATGTGATATTTCAGGGTTTTAAAAAAAAAATAAAGAAATGCAGAAAATTCTAAAAACCAGTTTTTGCTTCGTCATTATTGGGTATTGTGTGTAGATTGATGAGGGAAAAAACGATTTAATCAATTTTAGAATAAGGCTGTAACGAATCAAAATGTGGAAAAAGTGAAGGGGACTGAATACCTTCTGAATGCACTGTATATTTGGCCTTGTGTTTTAGGTTATTGCCCTGGTGAAAGGTGAATTTGTTTCCCAGTGTCTGTTGGAAAGAAGAATGAACAAGGTTTTCATTTAGGATTTTCCCTGCACTTAGCTTAATTTGGTTAATGTTTATCCTAAACAACAAGCATACCAATAACATGATGCAGCCACCACCACGCTTCAAAGTATGAAGACTGGTACTCAGTGATGTGTTGTCTTGGATTTGACCCAAACATAAGGCTTCGTATTCAGGACATAAACTGAATTTCTTTGCCACATGTTTGGCAGTTTTACGTTAGTGCCTTATTGCAAACAGGATGCATGTTTTGGAATATTTATAATTCTGTACAGGCTTCCTTTTTACTCTCATTTAGGTTAGTATCGAGGAGTAACTACAATGTTGTTCCATCCTCAGTTTTCTCTTATTACGGTCATTCAACTCTGTAACTGTTTTAAAGTCACCATTGGCCTCATGGTGAAATCCCTGGGCGGTTTCCTTTCTGTCTGGCAACTGAGTTAGGAAGGACGCCTGTATTTCTGTAGTGACTGGGTGTATTCATCACCACCCAAAGTGTAATTCATAACTTCACCATGCTCCAAAGGATATTCAATGTTGCATTTTACATATTTATCGTTCTACCAATAGGTGCCCTTCTTTGCGAGGCATTGGAAAACCGCCCTGGTCTTTCTGGTTGAATCTGTGTTTGAAATTCACTGCTCGACTGAGGGACCTTACAGATAATTGTATGTGTGGGGTACAGAGATGAAGTAGTCATTAAAAAATCATGTTAAACACTATTATTGCACACAGAGTCCATGCAACTTATGTGACTTGCATAACAAAGGGGTTGAATACTTATTGACTCAAGACATTTCAGCTTTTCATTTGTAATTAATTTGTAAACATTTCTAAACATAATTCCACTTTGACATTATGGGTTATTGTGTGTATGCCAGTGACACAATCTAATTTTAATCCGTTTTAAATTCAGGCTGTAACACAACAAAAATTTGAAAAAGTCAAGGGGTGTAAATACTTTCTGAAGGCACTGTAGGTCATGTGTCTGTGTGGACTGTACATTAGGTTATCCCTAACCTGCTTTTCCCCTGACCCCTATCTAGAGAGAAGACACAGCTCGTCCAGCAAGCCCACCTCCACCTTAGCCACCTCCTCACCCCTGTCTCGGAGCAGGAGCAGTGGGACGGGTGGTGGGGGTGTCAGCGGAGGGGCCATGGGGCGCTCTTCCAGTGGGACCAGCGCCTCGTCCAACTCCAAAATCCTCAAACCAGCCAAAGAGAAGCTGCCAGGCATCCAGCAGAGACCTCACTTCCCTCCCTTCAGGATGCTCAACGACAAGATGTAAGTCATGTCTAGCCTAGCCATGCTGGTGAACCATGCTGAACTCTAGTAAAACGTATTGTCATGTTGAACTTCAGCCTAGGACTGGGCGATATGGCTCAATGTTTTTCCAATATATGGGCGATTCACGATACAGTGTATATCTAAATATTTTTAGTGTTTTTTCCTAAATAAGCTTTGTTGCACAATTAAAGGTCACTGCATTTCAAACAGTCAGCAATAATCTAATGAAAGGGGCGGAGCTGGACAGTTTTTCCTGCCCAAAGTCGACCTTTCAAATGTTTATTTAATCCTAACCTTAAAGCGTAGTCTCAGCGATATGACGTAGATGCAGAAAGTAAACAGCATAGTGGGTCAATTTCCGCAGCAACTAAGAGCGCTAAAGTGTGAGGCTCAACTTCTCTGTTGTTTTGCGTGAAGCGCAAGCGTGAAGCGAACCCGTTCACATGTACAGATACTGTGCATCTCACTCATCTCATTTCAGTATTTTGCTGAGTCTACCTTTAACCATAACCACACTGCTAACCTTATGCCTAACCCTAACCTTAAGTTAAGACCAAAAAGCACATTCTTGTTTTCATAGTTATTCATAATATAGTCCATTTTGACTTTGTTGCTATAGTAACTAGTGGAAATTCAGTTGTGAGTGGCAGGGGAGGGGCTTGGTGTGTCTATGAGTGAGAAGGTGCACACAGGACAGAAAGAGATGAGACCAAAAAGACAACATGAGAACAAGCAGACATAAACGCTCATAAATAATACAAAATAATCTTGATTCTTGCGAGACAGGCATTTGGAATTTTGCACTAAAACATCAATTCAAATTAATTCGATATATCGGCCAGCCCTACTTCAGTCCCCTGCTTCTTAAAGCCCTGCTTCACGTTTGTTTTGATCCTCTGAGTTAGATCTTATCTCTTCATCTTAGGTCCTCTCCCTGCTCCTCAGAAGTCTAGCTCTGTCGGAAGTCTTCCTGTGCTACTCTCTGTCTAAATGAGCCCCTTAAAGAGTTAGTTTTAAAAATAGATCCTTTATCGAACTCCATTTGCAACCACTCAAAACATGTTGGCTTTCTGCTTGAGGATTTGAACACATTTCAAACTCTTCCTACAGCTGTTCTGTTAAAATGAAACGTTTTTTCTGAAGTATTTGATGCTGCTATAGATGAATGAACTCCCTCTATCCCTCGCTTTCTCCACCTCCGTCCATCCCTCTCTTCCAGCCTGACCCCTGCGGTCAAAGTGGAGAAGATGCGTCTGAAGGTGGATTCGTCGGCCAAGATGGTGCAGGTTCCCTCGGCCCCCTTATCGTCCTCTTCCTCCAGCAGCACTGTGAGCTCCTCGTCACCCCTGAAGCCAGGCCTTAACTGTCCCTCCATACCAAAGGCTCCCCTGCTGGCCCCCGGCCAGATCCCCAACGGCAAGGGCCATCTCTCCCTTTCTGCCCTGGACAAGAAGCAGGACAACAGCGCCAGTAGCAGACAACACCTCTACAAGAGACTGTCAGGTGAGAGGAGATGATAGGGGTTTATGTCTGTAGGATGTTTTGTTTTAAAGGTCCAATGCAGCTGTTTTTATCTCAATATCAAATCATTTCTGGGTAACAGGTAAGTACCTTACTGTGATTGTTTTCAATTAAAGAGCAATTTCTCAAGCAAGAATTTTGCTAGGACTGTCTGGGAGTGGTCTGAGTGGGGAGGGGAAAACTGAAAACTAGCTGTTATTGGCAGAAATGCCACTAACTGAATACTATGTTTCTCTGCTACCGCTCTCTCTTCCTTTCTACCTCTCCTGTTCTCTCTCTCCTCCATCAGAACGTGAGTTTAATCCAGATATCCACTGTGGAGTCCTGGATATGACAGCTCGGAAGCCATGCACACGATCCCTAACATGCAAGGTACCAAGCCCTCTCTTCTGCCCCCTCTCTTTCTCTCTGTTCTGTGTGGTTATGAATTATTCCATGTCACAGCCTTCAGATACTCAGAGTGCAGCTCACCCTGACCTAACATACGTTTTGGCCTTCTCCCTCCCTCAGACACATTCCCTAAGCCAGCGGAGGGCAGTGCTGGGCCGGAGGAAACGGTTCGACACACTGTTGGCTGAGCACAAAAGCAAAGCCCGGGAACGGGAACTGCAGCACCCCCACCCCCAGCAGACCACCCCTCTCAGGGAACCCCACCCCTCCCCCTCCCGGCTTGCCCCCCACCACGACGCCCACCAGGTGCCTCATGGCAACGGAGCCACCGACGTCACCAAGCCTTTGGCGTTTGGCAAGCCCAGACCTCACAATCTTGGTCTTCCACGGTGAGTCACTTCACGTGCTCTTCCTGGGTTCTCAACATCCAACAACTACTTTTTGCAGTGTGGTACAGCCAGTACCTGCATCCCTGATGTGTGTTCCTAAATCACTGTTTCCTCTGCACTCAGACTGAACAGCATTATTTCTCACGGAGGTGGGGGTACCCCGGGAGACCCCTTGTCGGTCCACGAGTCGCCCCACCCCTCTACGTCCGCCCCCGACGGGGTCTCCCGCCTGTCCAGTGACGAGGGGGAGAGGGAGGAGAGCACAGACAAACTGGACTGTCACTATTCAGGTTACCACCCACGGCCGGCAGCTGTAAGTTCACCACAAGTTCACTTTATATTTGACTCTTACAGGAATATGCTCTACATTTATTAAGCTCCTTAAATTCACATCACAGCAACAATGAAACAACAGCATAGCCAGATGTGTGAAAAATCTGTCCTTATCCAGTTTTGACAGGCCCTATAAACAGTACCAACCTCCATTGAGTGGCAGCTTGCACCGTGCATGGGAAGCAGCAGTGTGTGTGATTGATTGGTTTGTGTTAACTATTTCCATCCCTGCTGCTCAGTTTTGTACCTTTGGAAGTCAACTGTTTGGGAGAAGCTGCTACTCGTTTGACCGGCGCTGGGATCGAATGCGATGTGCTCTTACCGCCATGATGGACAAGCACGTCAACACTCAGATGTGGAAGTAAGTCTGTGCACATTCATTAGACCAGAGTTCCTTCCATAATACCTACCTAATTCACAAACCTATTGCAAAATCACAGAGGCAGGGAGCAATAGTGTTGCAGGGTGATGAAAGGAGATGTATGGGACACCATAAGCTAGCAGTTCCAGTGTCTCTCCAGGACTGTCCTGCGCTGACCCCTCTCTAGGTGTAAATGTTACTGATGGGGATGCTCATGGTGGTCTGTTTGTGTTATAGGAAAATCCCTTTCGCCTTGGAGAACTCCTCCTCCTCTTCTTCCTCTGCACCGGCCCACAGGACAACCACAAACTCCATGTCCTCATCCCACGGTAGCGCCCCTGTCTCGGGCTTCCTCAGCCCCTCCTCTGCGCCCCTTCCGCCCCCCTACACTCATTCCTACGACAGCAAGTCTGTGCTCTCGTACGGGACCACCTTAAACGCCCGTGCCTCCCCGCAGGGCGCAGCCGACCACCCTGCCTACAGCGCAGCACAGGCCAGACAAGTGTCTTCGTCGCCCCAGATGCCTTCAACCCACTCCTCGGTCCCCTCCCTGGCTTCAGGACGACCGCTCAAGTCCAGATCCAGCGTCAAGTCCTTCAGACCCCGGGAGTCCTCCTCCACAGCTGCCATAACCAACTCCACCTGCGGGGGCAGCAGTGGAGGCAGTAGCCTCAGCTCGGGGAAGAAGAGGAAGAACAGCTCCCTCCCTACATCGTCTCACGCTACCACCTACTCCTCAGAGTCCTCTTCCTCCTCCAACACCACCCCTTCCTCCTTCAAGAAGAACTGCATGGTAAACAGTGGCAGCTCAGGGAGCACGTACCACCACGCCTCGCTAGTCCCCCCCTCCTCCTCCTCGTCTCACAGTGGCGTCCACAGTGTGGGACTCAACTGTGGCCCCAACGCCAGGACCAACTCCCTCAGTCTGAAGGCAGAGCCCTCGGGGCCAGCTGGGGTGTCGGGGCCCGGGGTCAGAGGCCCCCCCTCGGGCAGCCCGGCCGAGTCCATCAAGAGGATGAGTGTGGTGATGAACAGCAGTGACTCCACCCTCTCCCTGGGGCCCTTTGTCCACCAGGCCTCAGAGCACCACAGCAGCTTCAGCCATGCCCACACTGACGTCCGCCTGGAGGGGAAGAAACGCAAGGGCTCCCCCGCTGTCAGCTCCATCAACAGTGGAGGAGGTTTAGGGGGCGGTGGAGGGGGGCCGGGCAGGCCCAAAGTGGCCAAGTCTCCAGCCATCAACAACATCCACAGCAAACATGGACGAACAATCCCAGGAGCCACGGGGCTCCCCAACAACTCCCTCATCCATCAGGTGGGTTGGACACCTCACACACTGGCTGCTAATGCCTATCATCAACCAGTCAATCTCTTTATCTGTTGGAAAATTCACTGTGCAGTCAGGACTTGTATATCTTCAACATGTACATGTGACCACATATAGACTTGAGAAAAAAACATTAAACTAAAAATCACCAATGAATGAATGTTGTAATTTATCATCTAACTTCCCTGCCCCTCTCTCTCTCTCTCTCTCTCTCTTGCTCTCCTCAGCCAAAGGCCCGCCCCTGACAGCGGTGGCTGGGTTCTCTGTATGGAACCGAGGGGCGGATGAAGAGGAGGCAACATGTGCGCTGCTCCGGACTGCACGAGGCCTTCTAATACGTTACTCTCAGCTTCCCAAGATCCTCAGGGTGGATATGATCTGGACAGCCCAGTGACGTCACCGTTGTCGTCTATAGTGTAACTATTCCTCCCAAAGCCATGTAGGAGCGCCGTGTGGAGGTGGCAGGCGTTAGCACCCAGGGTGGGTCACACTTGGCCCCCTGTCAGTCAGTGTACTGAGGGAGGTATTCCTATGGGGAAGACAGGAGAGAAAAGGAGGGAGTAGCAGCCTGCCTGCCCTTTGACCTAATGTTGGAATTCCAGAGGTACGGAGGAAGGGAAAAGTGCTGGCACAACAGCCATGGCACTGCCCACCTACCGTCATGACGTAGAGCCACTGGGAGTGACTGGAGAGCCCTTAAGCCGCAATCCGTTGGTTTCCGACGATCTCTTCCGTGCGTGCGTGTGTGTGTGTATGTGTGTGTGTGTGTCACTTTAGATTCTACTGGACTACTGGAAATTCAAATGTACACCTCCACGCCTGAACTCAGAAGCCTTGGAAGGAGAGGGCAGGAAGAGGAAAAACTGTCAGTTGCAACACTTCGAACACAATCACATTGTTGTTTTTTAATCCTTTCACTACATTTTGTCGGTTGGTTTTAATCAGTGTGACGTGTGCGTACATAACGTCAGGTTATGTACAGTAAGTAGCCAGAGATGAACAACATGAGGAGCAGATCCAGTCAATTCTCTATGTGAGTTCCATACATGACCGAAACAATTATGCAAGTGTTACTTTTTTATGTTTCTTATGTTTTTCACTGAATTTACCTACAAAAGTCTGTGTGGAGATGGGGAAGAAAGTAAATTGTGCATGCATATGTGAAAAAAGGATGCCTGATACGACAATTTGATTGAATGGTTGTGAAAGAGGGAGTACTTGTCTTGAGGACAAGTGTTAATTCCTACATTATTTTCATCTTACAAATGAACAGCTACAGTAGACCTAGCCCTAACTGTGAACAGCACTAAACAAACACAGACCCACTACTTGCTTTAGGACATTTAAGTTGTGCTTAATTGCCCCAAAAGCAATCCAAAGGCAGCCATCTGTTTCTCCCACCCTAGTCTGTAACCACTACGCCAGCTTCGGCTATTGGCTATTAGGGTTTCCATTCCGGTACAATATAGTGTTGTAGTTTGTGAGTAGAGGGGTTTGTCATGACTCACATCACACTTGTCCTTCGTCAAAGCACGGAGTCTTAAACTGGCAATACTTCCCCTTGTCTGTCTCTCTGAGATGAGATGATGCTCCTTGGGATCAAGTGGTGTTTTTTTTGGGGTGCGAGATTCATGGAGATGGCTTCAGAGTAGGTTACTACTTTTTTTGTAACTCCTGTAAATTTCGTAAACTCCACTGATGTCAGGCAGCGAGCGTAGTTGAGGAGCCGAGTGTTTTCTATCTTACTTTCGCTTTTTCTTGTATGTATTGAACAAATATCGAAGTATCCCTATTTCAGAATACATATTTTGTTAATGAATTGTACATATTGAAATATGTATTTTTGCACAGGCATTTTCTTATACAGTTTGTTTTGGTACAATTGAGATCATTATTATTTATTTAGTAAATGAAATAAGTTTAAGAACTTAACTTATTTGAAGTGGTTCACTGCCAAGTCTATAATGCAATACGCCTATAACTAGAGGTTAAAGCGTCACATTAATCATGTACTGGGATCCTTTTAAAACAGGGGTGTCAAACTCAATTTTGCCCCGAGGGGCACATTCGGTCTTCAACGAGGTGAATGTAGGTGTATTCTCATTTCTACACAGTTTCGATTTGGTTTTAGTCCTTTTAAAGCAGGGTTCCCCGAATTAGGCCCGGGGGTGGTTTTATTTGGCCCCTCAAGTTTTCTGAGCAAAAAACAACTTTTTTTTGTTATTTTATTTTCATTGTTGGACATAAGGCTGTAAAAATACCAGGAAATTAGCTCCAGGTAATTTTAATTTTGTAAGTCTGCTTCCAAGTATTCCCACACTTAATAGAGATGTGATCATATACAAATGTAAGCAAGGTTGTTTTAGTCAAACATGATATCTGTTCGGGCTTCTTGCGGTCAATTAGCAATCTACAAATTATTATTTTTATGTAATTATGTTCAGGCCTCCCGACCATCTGCTCAAGAAAAGAATCGGCCCGCGGCTGAATCTAGTTGATGATCCCTGTTTGAAAGTATATTGAGTTTGTTTTGTTTTACTCAAATTACCCCTGGGCTGGATTGGACCCCCCTCCATTTGTTTGACACCCCTGCTTTAAAAGGTAGTGTTGCCACAAGCATGCATTTGTGTGGCAGACATTACTTTGTTGTTAACTCTCCAAGGTCTCACTTGTGCTTTTTACTATTTTCAAGTTGCCTCTGAATCAACAAAAGAAACATATTTTTTTTTTTTACCCAAATAGCCTGTGATTCTGAAATGTCCCGCAGGCTGAAAGCTGTGCCCGTTGTCTAAGCGATTTCCATGGATTCAATCATTTACCTTTTTAGACGAAGACCTTGTAACATTTCATAATTTGAAACACTTTCCTTTAAGGCTGAAGGGACTTAGCAATCATTAAAGCAAGGAAGATGAACACTTCAAACAGTGGAACTGCTTGCATCATTGTTGCCAAACTTAATTTGAAGCACAGCGTTTATGGAAATTCTTAGTTTGCAGCTTTTAGAAATGCTGAAATAAGAAAGTGCCTGCATTTGTTTCACACTGACTGTTTGAGGACAGAGCTTTTTTAATTTTAGTTTTACCTTACTTGAATGTTCAAAGTGTTTTAGGAGCTTGCTTTTAAAATATGCCTATGAACCCTAAATGTGGTAAAAACCTGATAGCTTGTCAGCTAGCTGGTATGAAACACTTTGGCCTCTATTCAAGCCGTATCACGGAAGTTAAGCGTTACATTGTCGTTGAAATTTAAAAGCAATGTTCCCGCATTAGCGTAGACTGCATTCGTGGTAAACACTGCATATGTTTGCCTGGCTACCCAAACTCCTTGCTCCGGGCAAACCGCTACGCCACACCAATGGATGTTTGTTTCTTCTCCGTAATGAGTCTGGAGCTGAGTACCTCCCTGATGATTTCTAGAACGCAAACACATTCTAACCCAGGATTTCCCAAACTCGGTCCTTGGGACCCCAAGGGCTGCACTACACAGCTGATTTAAAATAATCAACTAATCATCAAGGTTTGATCATTTGAATCAGCTGTGTAGTGTTAGGGTAAAAAAACGAAACGCGCACAGAGTTTGAGAAACGCTGTTCTAACCGTTCTGAAAATTCGTCATTGGCTTTGATACTCTTGATTGTTTAGAGAAGATCCAATCGCTGATGACTTCTTGTATAACACTACCACAAATGACTTCAATGATGGCAGTCTCATACTGAAGTTTGTAGCGAACGAAATAATTCAGTTTGAGTTGTTAATCAATGCATGACCTTTACATTTCCATTGTGCAATCTGTAACGCTTAAAGGATCCAGATTGAATAGAGCACATAGTGTTAACCGTTATTTTTATCAATGTTTTCCAGATAAGAGACGTCAGATCTTGGTGCAGACCAGGGGGTGTTGAAGCTCCCTGGTCGGTTATGAGTTGTTTAACAGGTTCAGTAAAGTGTTTTTGTTTACCCTCAACCTCCACTGACAACGCTGACCTTGTTTCCATATGATGGAAACTTTGCAAAGATGTTTTTATCAAGTACCACATACTTGGAATGTGAAAGTGAGACAGAACACAGCTTGCTTGTGGGAGGAAAATATTTTCAGTACAAACTCCTATATAAGAGCGTGTATAGTTTTTTTTTTTTTTGTAAACATTATCAGAATCATTTGATCAGCTGGACTTTTGTGTATTGGGCTGCTATGTAATTCATGAACAAACTTGTTAGGTTAGATTTACTTAATATTTAAGATTGTATAGTCTTTGTTTTGTAACATGTTTCTGTAAATAAAAAATAATTTATACAGCTATTTATACAGAAAAAAAACAGTCTTTGCTTCATTACTGAAATTGTTTTATTTCAGAAATCACTTTCATCCATGTCTGTATCAAAGGAAAAGAAGAAGTCACCAAAAAGAATTTTATTATATACACAATGAGGGTCAGTTCTTCAGACAAACTATTGGTGTGGATACTGGTACAACAGAAAACCCCAGATCTCCCTCCCAAAGGACAAAGGTAACACTGCCATCCATGTTACATGTTAATAACTCGGGACAGCTTCTGGACGCGGTTGAGCAGTAGGTCCCCTTTCTTGATTGTCTCCTGGTACTGCCAGTTCTTGCTATCAGGTCTGAAGGAATAAAATACAACACTGAGCTCTGCCACTTTTAATATAGAAACCAATGTTTTACTACCGTTCAAAAGTTTGGGGTCACTTAGAAATGTCCTTGTTTTCAAAAGAAAAGCATTTTATTTGTCCATTTAAAATAACAAATTGATCAGAAATACAGTGTAGACGTTAATGTTGTAAATGGCTATTGTAGCTGGAAACGGCTGATTTTTTTATGGAATATCTACATAGGCGTACATAGGCCCACTATCAGCAACCATCAGTCTTGTGTTCCAATGGCACGTTGTGTTTGCTAATCCAAGTTCATTTTAAAAGGCTAATTGATCATTAGAAAACCCTTTTACAATTATGTTAGCACAGCTGAAAACTGTTGTGCTGATTAAAGAAGCAATAAAACTGGCCTTCTTGAGACTAGTTGATTATCTGGAGAATCAGCAATTGTGGGTTTGATTACAGGCTGAAAATGGCCAGAAACAAAGTACTTTCTTCTGAAACTCGTCAGTCTATACTTGTTCTGAGAAATGAAGGCTATTCTATGCGAGAAATTGCCAAGAAACTGAAGATCTCGTACAACGCTGTTTACTTCTCCCTTCACAGAACAGCGGAAACTGGCTCTAACCAGAATATAATGAGGAGAGGGAGGCCCCGGTGCACAACTGAGCAAGAGGACGAAAACTGTGTCTAATTTGAGAAACAGACGCATCACAGGTCCTCAACTGGCAGCTTCATTAAATAGTACCCGCAAAACACCAGTCTCAACAGTAAAGAGGCTCCAGATACACAACTAGTCTCAAGAAGGCCAGTTGTATTGCTTCTTTAATCAGCATAACAGTTTTCAGCTGTGCTAACATAATTGTAAAAGGGTTTTCTAATGATCAATTAGCCTTTTAAAATGATAAACTTGGATTAGCAAACAAAGGTGCCATTGGAACACAGGACTGATGGTTGCTGATAATGGGCCTCTGTACGCCTATGTAGATATTCCATTAGAAAATCAGCCGTTTACAGCTACAATAGCCATTTACAACATTAACAATGTCTACACTGTATTTCTGATCAATTTGATGTTATTTTAATGGACAAAAAAATTGCCTTTCTTTCAAAAACAAGGGCATTTCTAAGTGACCCCAAACTTTTAAACGGTAGTGTATGTGAAAATGTTATTCTTACCTGTTGGTTTCCACAATCTCGTTTACTTTGTCGATTTTGCAATGGAGGCGACCAGCAGCTATGAATCGGGAGAGTTCCCTGAGAGCGAAGGAAAAACAAATGTAGTTATCACAGTACAACCTTTTCTGTTCCAGTGTAATCAAGAGCAATAATCATTGTCTTCTGACAGGCGGCATCATTCCTACGCGACTCGCAGTCCTCAACCAACGGAGTAATCGCTATCTGACGTAAGACAACCTCCAGGATGAGCACTAATAGGTTTTGTGGGTATGGGACAAGAGGTAGACGTGAGACTCACTGGTCAATGAACTCTGTACTGACTCCAAAGGCCTCAGCCATGTAGCCCAGGGTGAGTGAGCGGTAGGACTCCAGGAGCTGGCTGTAGGCATGGATACGCATCTCCCTCACGTAGTAACGGTAGTGAGGGGCAAACAACCAGTCCTTCTTCATATCCTGCTCCACCGTGGCTGCAGAGAGAGGACAGAAACAAACAGGTTTACAACTAAGGAATGACGGGAAGTGAAACATACATGTCCACTCACTGGCTGCAGACATCAATGCTCTTCAGCTTTACTTTTTGTAAGCCTAAATGAGGGGAGAGCAAAGGAGGGGTGTCTCACCCAGTGACTGGAAGAAGACAGAGTAGCGACACTCGTAGAGGGAGAAGAGGTACTGGCGGACAGCAGGGAGACTGTGCAGCACCTCCAGGATCTCTGCTCCCTTTATCACCTGGGGGAGAGGGAGAACAACACATTAGTCCACAGGAGATGCTACAGTCATGCCAGAACTGTAAATCTACCAGCTAGAAAGTATTCAGACTGCTTGACGTTTTCCACATTTTGTTACGTTACAGCCTTATTCTAAAATGGATTAAATAAATAAAAATCCTCTGCAATTTACACACAATACCCCATAATGACAAAGCAAAAAGAGCTTTTTGGAAATGTTTGCAAATGTATTAAAAATTAAAAACAGAAATACCTTATTTACATTAGTATTCAGACCCTTTGCTATGAGACTCGAAATTGAGCTCAGGTGCATCCTGTTTCCATTGATCATGATTGGACATGATTTGGAAAGGCACACACCTGTCTATTTAAGGTCCTACAGTTGACAGTGCATGTCAGAGCAAAAACCAAGCCATGAGGTCGAAGGAATTGTCCGTAGAGCTCCGAGACTGGATTGTGTCGAGCCACATATCTGGGGAAGGGTACCAAAACATTTCTGTAGCATTGAAGATTCCCAAGAACACAGTGGCCTCCATCATTCTTAAATGGAAGAAGTTTTGAACCACCAAGACTCTTCCTAGAGCTGGCCGCCCGGCCAAACTGAGCAATCAGGGGAGAAGGGCCTTGGTCAGGGAGGTGACCAAAAACCCGATGGTCACTCTGACAGAGCTCTAGAGTTCCTCTGTGGAGATGGGAGAACCTTCCAGAAGGACCACCATCTCCGCAGCACTCCACCAATCAGGCCTTTATGGTAGAGTGACCAGACAGAAGCCACTCCTCAGTAAAAGGCACATGACTGCCCGCTTGGAGTTTGCCAAAATGCACCTAAACACTCTCATACCATGAGAAACAACATTCTCTGGTCTGATGAAACCAAGATTGAACTATTTTGCCTGAATGCCAAGTGTCACGTCTGGAGGAAACCTGGCACCATCCCTACGGTGAAGCATGGTGGTGGCAGCATCATGCTGTGGGGATGTTTTTCAGCGGCAGGGACTGGGACACTAGTCAGGATCGAGGCAAAGATGAACGGAGCAAAGTATAGAGAGATCCTTGATGAAAACCTGCTCCAGAGCGCTCAGGACCTCAGACTGGGGCAAAGTTTTACCTTCCAACAGGACAACGACCCTAAGCACACAGCCGAGACAAAGCAGGAGTGACAAGTCTCAATGTCCTTGAGTGGCCCAGCCAGAACCCGGACTTGAACCCGATTTAACATCTCTGGAGAGACCTGAAAATAGTTGTGCCGCAACGCTCCCAATCCAACCTGACAGAGCTTGAGAGGATCTGCAGAGAAGAATGGGAGAAACTCCCCAAACACAGATGTGCCAAGCTTGTAGCGTCATACCCAAGAAGACTCGATGCTGTAATCGCTGCCAAAGGTGCTTCAACAAAGTACTGAGTAAAGGGTCTGAATATTTATGTAAATGTGATATTTCCATTTCCCAAAAAAATCTAAAAACCTGTTTTTGCTTTGTCATTATAGTCAAGGGGTCTGAATACTTTCCGAAGGCACTGTAGAACATAAGTGTCTTCACTTAAAACAAGTTTGAATGTTCATGTTCTGGCATGTAGAAAGTATTGTCTACACATTGTTTTCTGCAACCACACTGTCTTAAAACGACCAACTCTAGAATGACGTAGTCACATGGATGCACTGTTGATGACAACACTGCCACCGTGGCTCCAGAATCTTCCTCCTCTCCTGCTACCAACCTTTTCTCTGAGGTCGGGCCTCTTCAGGGCAATCATGCAGACGTAGACAGTGTACGTGACGAAGGTCTTGTAATCCATGAGCTCATAGGAGGTGAAGGTGGACACTGTGTCCAGGAAGAGCTCAGCAGCCTGTTTAAAGTCACGAATTGCCACACAGTACAGGCCCTGGTACACCTTGAGACGGTTCCTCCTGTCCCAGTCACCCCCCTCCTCAATAAGGCTGTGCAGACACAAACAAGGTCACTGTAATGATGATGCTTACAAAATACGAGGATATAGAAAACAATGGCTTACAACAAATAAGAGTCAACAATGGAATGCAGGCAAAACGATATGAAAACACCTAAACAGGCCTAAACAGTTCCAGTCACTGCAAATATAATTCTTAGAATAGATAGTGAGGACCCCAAATGGCATGTCATCAAAGTAGTGAATGCAGAGAGAAGCAGTCCCTTTTAGCCAAACTACCTTTTAGCTTTCTCAGTGTTGCGTGTGATGAGGTCACTGTCCATGTAGAACAGTCCAATCCTTAGCAGGTAGAACACAATGTCTAGTCGATGTCCCAGGGCCACAGTCTTATCAAAGGTCTTCCTGAAGGCAGTCAACGCTTCCTCCTGTGAAATGAAAGTCAGTGACTTGTTTGATTGAGCTAGTGATGTACGTGCCTGGCTAGGTTTTGCAGAGGCAGCTCCTTGCTTTATAAGTATAAAATATGTAGCTCTACAATGAGCTATGGGCTGACACCATGTATTCTATGAGGTCAAATCATGGTACTAACAAATAACATGGTTTCTTACTCTGTGGCCTCTGCTCTGAATGTAGTAGCTGATTAATGCAAACTCACCTTATTCCCGATTCTGATTAGATATTCAGCTCTAGCCATCATTGCATCTCGGATTTCACTCTCCCCAAGGTTCTTCTCTGCATCTTCCAGGACGTCATCCAGGCGTTTTAGCTCGTCCTCGTTGGCCTTCTTCATCTTACTCAGCAGGTCTGTGTCAAGCTGCCACTTTAGGTCTTTACACAGGCTTTCATAGTAGGGTGCCATATCTGAAACAAGAGACAATTCATCATCAGCTATAGTGGCTAGCTAGCTACAACTTGACGGTTGTAACCTTGGCAACATTCTAACGTTAGACATTTTTATTTAACCAGTATATTGCCGTTATCTGTTTGAGTAGCTAACTAGCAAACTTAGCTAGTTATAATACCTTGTATATTGAGTAGCTAACTGACCAGTAGCTAGGTAACATTAGCAGTCTGATTTATGTCTGACAGTGACGCAACGTCACTGGTTTAATTTCAGGCCAGAGACAGTCAGAGTATGTTAACGTTAGGGAACTAAGCTAGCGAGACAACCGTGTTACTTGCAGCACCATACTACGGACAGAGCAACTAACGTTAATGTGGTAGCGGAACAAACTAGCTAGCTAACGTTATTGTTGTTGGTTTTTTTGCGAGGCAGAAGCCTAAACTCACTATTCTCTTTGATTGAGTCCATGAGCTCGGTTTTCACTTTAGCGTCCTGTCGGTGACCGTCCATCGTGAGCAAAAATTTCAGCTGTGCTATCCTAAGATCAGGGTTTTTAGGCAGACCCTCTTCTTCCAGATTTTCCAACGGCATTTTGACTACTATTAAAGTAATGAGCGCAGATATTTTTTTTATTTGTGACAACAATAATCAGAGGGATCTTCTGCTAGTTTGCTAACAATGACTACGGAAAACACTGATCTGCCACTTCCGCGGTACGGCGCAAACGAGTTGAAAAGAGAACGTCAGAGGTGACAGGATGAGAACGTGCTGCCCTCGTCTGGCTAAAAAGGGAATGCCCGCCGAGCACACGAAGAATACCAAATGATCTCATTATAAAGCAGGTCTGTAACAACTTATCACTCAACAAAAAATATATATTTTGCCAGATGTATTTCTTACTTTCTACAACATATACAGCGATGAGTACTGTGTCAGAGACAGTGACTCAGGGGTTGAAAGGTAAGCTCCCTCTGAGATGTAAAAAATGAATCTTATTCCAAAAAATATCTAACAAAGCAATTGTCTGGTGGACATGCAGACATAAATAAGTGTGTTACATGGAACTCTCAAGATACACAGCATGGAGACTTTGCTGAGGCACCTGGTAGGCACAATTTGATTATTTAAAAAGGACATACTTTTTCATATCTGTATTACTATATCTAATTATTAGTTAACATGAGAAACAATTAAACTGTTGAAACCATGATTAATATATATATATATATATATATATATATATATATACAGTACCAGTGAAAAGTTTGGACACACCTACTCATTCCAGGGTTTTTCATTATCTTTACTATTCTCTACATTGTAGAATAATAGTGAAGACATCAAAACTAAAATAACACATATGGAATCATGTAGTAACCAAAAAAGTGTTAAACAAATCAAAATACATGTTATATTTGAGATTCTTCAAATAGCCACCCTTTGCCTTGATGACAGCTTTGCACACTCTTGGCACTCTCTCAACCAGCTTCACCTGGAATGCTTTTCCAACAGTCTTGAAGGAGTTCACACAAATGCTGAGCACTTGTTGATAGTCCCACTAAGCCCAAACCAGATGGGATTGCGTATCGCTGCAGAATGCTGTGGTAACCATACTGGTTAAGTGTGCCTTGAATTCTAAATAAATCACAGACAGTGTCACCAACAAAACACCCCCACACCATAACACCTCCTCCTCCATGCTTTACGGTGGGTACTACACATGCAGAGATCATCCGTTCACCCACACCGCGTCTCACAAAGACACAGCGGTTGGAACCAAAAATCTCAAATTTGGACTCCAGACCAAAGGATACATTTCCACCGGACTAATGCCCATTGCTCGTGTTTCTTGTCCCAAGCAGGGCTCTTCTTCTTATTGGTGTCCTTTAGTAGTGGTTTCTTTGCAGCAATTCGACCACGAAGGCCTGATTCACACAATACCCTCTGAACAGTTGATGTTGAGATGTGTTTGTGACTTGAACCCTGTGAAGCATTTATTTAGGCTGCAATTTCTGAGGCTGGTAACGCTAATGAACTTATCCTCTACAGCAGGGGAAACTCTGGGTCTTCCATTCCTATGGCGGTCCTCATGAGAGCCAGTTTCATCATAGCGCTTGATGGTTTTTGCGACAGCACTTGAATAAACTTTTAAAGTTCTTGAAATGTTCTGTATTGACTGACCTTCATGTCTTATAGTAATGATGGACTGTCGTTTATCTTTGCTTGTTTGAGCTGTTCTTGCCATAATATGGACTTGGTCTTTTACCAAATAGGGCTATCTTCTGTATACCCCACCTACCTTGTCACAACACAACTGATTGGCTCAAACGCATTAAGAAGGAAAGCAATTCCACAAATTAACTTTTAAGAAGGCACACCTGTTAATTGAAATGCATTCCAGGTGACTACCTCATGAAGCTGGTTGAGAGAATGCCAAGAGTGGGCAAAGCTGTCATCAAGGCAAATGGTGGCTATTTGAAGAATCTCAAATATAAAATATATTTTGATTTGTTTAACACTTTTTTGGTTACTACATGATTCCATATGTGTTATTTCATAGTTTCGATGTCTTCACTATTATTCTACAATGTAAAAAAATGTAAAAATAAAGAGAAACCCTTGAATGAGTAGGTGTTTTCAAACTTTTGACTGGTAGTGTATATATTAAGAAATTAACTTCTTATTATGAACAACATATTTATAGCTATAACTTAATTAATTGCTGTATGAATGGGTAATAACATGACAATAGAGAGGTACAAATTAGACAAAAAACTGAGCATCATGACTCAACTAAACAGGTGAGAGAAGTAATGTTGAAGTAGGCTATCCATGCCTTCTCCATGTGCCATTGTGAAAATGTTGATGAAATATATGTAGGCCTATAACTGTAATTGTAAAATGTTTATCCTGTTTATGTTCTCCATTCCAGACCATGTGGTAATGCTCTAGTCTTCATAATCATTTTCGGGACTGGCAGATCTTTTCAAAATGGGTTCCATGTTACTGTCATCAGTTCCCCTTCACCAGTAAGAGACATCAGCACAAAAACCTCATTCTCACACAAGTTAACTTTGCACATTCACTTGTGCTAAAATTAACACCTAGCCTACTTCACCAGGCTTGTAGACATACTACTGGTGAACTGTCTGTTGCCTTAACCATGTCTGTCTGCTTGCAGTACATCCAGAGCTTTGTCAATAGCAGTTGGATTGGGCGACGTGAGGAAACCCCACCGGCACAGACAGTCAAACTTATCTGGTCTATGTATGCTGTAGGAGGTCTCCTGGGATCTATGAGTGTCAGGTGCATTGCACAGATTTTTTTCACCATCTATACTCTTTTTATTTTGAAAGAGAGCCATGTGACTATCATTGTTGCGACGGTGATAATGTTTACGAGTAGGGGGGGATATTTTTGTTTTTAGCAGACGTTCTTATCCAGAGTGACTTACAGGAGCAATTAGGGTTAAGTACATTGCTCAAGGGCACATCAACAGATTTTTCACCTAGTCGGCTGAGGGATTCGAACCAGCAACCTTTCGGTTACTGTCTCAACACTCTTAACCGCTATGCTACCTGCCTAGGCTAGGTTACCTGGTTAGGCTACCTGCCACACCTGATAGATCAGTTTCTGTATGGATTCACTGCAGGTAGGCCTATGTGATATTGCACCTTAAATTTCATGCAGATTAGTTTAATCTAAGGATCATTATGTCATGGTAAAATAGAATCCCAGAATGACCTTGTATCTTACAGTGATAATAGTAATTTATGTTTTATTCTTGTTTGTGAACCTCAGGTTCAGGAGCAAATATCCATGCGATATACCTGGGTGAGAGTTCACTCTAAAAGATAACGGGCATGGTAACACTAACGTCAGCTACTTTTGCCTCCATTGTTAAACTGTCAGGACAATTTGTTGGACTAATGAAAAGTGCTATTTTTGAATTTCAACATTTCCCTGAAAAAAAGAAGCATCAAGCATCACACTAAACATATGGTTGTCAATGTGTGCCAAATCGGATATCCTGATGATTGATGCTTTGTCTCAACTTTCTCAGAGAGATTCTTGGCTGTGAGAATAGCTGGAACATCCTGCTGTGTGTTCCAACATGCTTCTCTGTGGTACAGCTGCTAACACTGCCCTTCTTTCCTGAGGCCCCAAGGCACCACCCTCTGTCTTTTATCCCATACCTCAGGGGGTTTTGGCTCGAGGGTCATATCGGGATTTCGAAATTCAACGGAGGGCCGCACAGATTTTTGCGGACCAGAAAAAGGCAGGTTATTTCTACATACTATCTATCTAGTTTTAGACGTTCAAGTGTGGCCTGGATTTAAAAAAAACAACCAAAATAATAATTTCCCAAAAATATGTTTTAATGTTTTTTTACTAAATCCCTCACAGGCCGTATTTAATCGGCTGGCGGGCCAGATGCTGCCCGTGGGCCATAGTTTGCCCACCGCTGCCATACCTACTGTACATCCTACTCACAACCTCTTCTTCTCTTCTGCCCTTTACCCTCAGATCAGTGAGTTCTCCTTTGACATCTTCAAGGAGGCAGGCATCCACTTGAATAAGAGCCGCTGTGTGATTCTGGGTGTTGGAGTGTCTGAGGTCCTCACCGCCATCATCTGGGTGTGTCGCTGGGGAACATGGGCTACACTACAGGGGGTGCACTACGATACCCCTCTGCAGTATTATAGTAATCAGTCCGGTCTCGAGACCACATATTGAGAGGGGCCCTCTGTAACTTCTACAAAGCATGTACCCAGGCTAAAAAGGTTAAAAGTAGAGTACTTTTTAATTAACTTGAAAATGTCACTGGTTAAGTGGTCATTAGACAACAGTGATAAGGACTAATAAGCTAAAGTAATCAGTGAACAGTATAGGAGAGTGACCATAGGGAAAGAAACACTGTGCAGGAATCCACCCCCTGTGCATACCGTACAGTAGCTCCGCTAGGTGGAACATGTTTGTCACTAAGATGTGAATGCCACTCCTGAGCTCCTAAACATTAAATCATGTGTGAGCTCCTCTGGCTTTGCCGTCCCCTAGGCGGAGGGAGGGAGGGAGTGATGGATGGAGAAGGTTCCGGATAAGTTCTGTTATGTGCAATCATCCCCAGGGCCTGCTGATCATGAGTGTGTGGAGGAGAGCGCTACTCTGGGGGGCTTTGGGGCCATGTCTGCCATCATGATATTAATCACCATCACTCTCAACCTGAAGGTGAGCTCTTGACCTTTCAACTCTCCTGCACTGTGACAAACCTACAGTAAGAGGACCAAGGGGATGATACGTGGATGAGACAGTTTTGCTCAAAATACCAATATTACATTGCTGTGATCATCAATGGGTGATTGATCAGATGCATACTTCCCTGTTGCCTGTGGTATTCCTAGCTGGAGTGTTGCCGTCTCTCACACATTATATCTTTATCCAATCATGCCAGCCTGCAGCGTTTGTCTTCACTGGAATCCGGTGCTGGCTTTCCTGTGCTGGGACTAGTCTTCCCTTTCTTATTGTAAGTCTATAGCGCACCATCAATATACTGTACCTCTATATGTATTCAATACATGTAAAGGACAGCAGAACACTTCGGAATGAAGTCTTGTTATATAATGCTTTTTATAATGCTTTCAAAGTTACCAATTGAGATACAATAAGATTTCCTGAGCTCAATTCACATTGTTCTGCACTATGACCGTTTGATACCCCAGAGATACCAGGCATACAGTAATTCCATACTTTGAACATCATATTAAAACCTTTTTTTATCATCAGTATTACTTTTGTCTCAGCCGGTCTGTGTAAAAAGCAGAGCTCTAAATTAGGTACCAGTGGAATATATAAAATTGAAAGGTTTCCTATAGCCATGAGTAGAGCAATAGGACAGGACTATTTAATCACAGGCTCTCAACCAACCGTCCAAGTTGTTCCCCTAGTTATTGTTGCTCTAGGAACTCACCTGCCTCCCTGCATCTTCTCTTTACCACAGGAGCTCTTTACTCAAGTCGTTCAGCTTCGTGCTGTTCGCCTGCATGTGTCTGTTGGCATGACTCTACATCTTCTCCTACCTCCTGGAGACCAAGGGGAAAACCCTCCTGGAGACCAAGGGGAAAACCCTCCTGGAGACCAAGGGGAAAACCCTCCTGGAGACCAAGGGGAAAACCCTCCTGGAGATCTCAGGGAGTTTAAAAACATCACTCTGTGTGTAAAACCCCTCTCAGATGACAAGACCCTGGAGAGACAAGACCCTGTTGAAAGCAAATGAACTGAGATGTATTATACTCTGAGTTGTTTAGTTTGTATTTTAGCATTGTCCATCATATATCTTTATACACTGCATTCACAGCCATATACCATATTCAATAAAAAAATCTAAACGTGTTATATATCTGAATGAGTTTAATGGACCAATTGAAAATAATAATATGCTATTTACTCTGATTTCTTTCAAAATCCCTTTTCAAATAGTCGTTCAATTACTTGGAAAGTCCTAAAACAAATGTTGTTTCCAACTTGTGTTATAGGACCTCACAGAAAGCCATATGGTCTGGTCTGATGTTCTTCTGTTTTCCTGAGGTTCATAGTAGGATATTTATAGGACAAAAATGCACTCTCTTTATCTCTCAATTTATCTCATACACCACATAAAATCCACCCCAAGTCTGATTTCTTACGGACTCATTAGTAAGAACCGTGTAGACTTAACCGATGCCCATGGCCAACGTGGGAGACTCCCTCAGCCTCTTAGCTGGCTCTTTGTCCATAATGATGAGGCTGGGTCTTTGAGGGTTGGCTTTTCTAGTATGGTCCTTGAGCTGTTGGCTCTTTGAGGGTCTCCCCTTCTCCCCCTTATCACTGGCTGCCAGCTGCTGCTGGGCACAGGGTCTTCATTAGCAGTTAAATGCGCTGGGTGCACAGCTCCTGTTCGGGGATGGGGAATGATTGACATTATCTTGGCTGGGGTGAGAGGGTGTATTGGCGTCCTCCTGTTTGCGTTGTCTCTAGAGGGGATTAACTAGAGGATTAATTAGAGCTACCATAGTGATGCCTAACCGTCTTTCCCCATAGACCTGCCTGCCTGGTCACTGCCTGGCCAATGGGCTGCTTTTACTCTTTAATGGAAAATGCTGACACTGAGGTAAATATCATGGACACATATAGCAGGTATTTCAGTCTGAGCATTTGTGTCAAATAAAGGGTTAGACTTAGACCAAACAGTATCCATGACAATGCAATGTTCTATATCTAAACTGTAAACTAAACTGTCAATAATAATAGATTGATCTTGGGAAGATGAACACTCGATTTTGTCATATTTAAGTGTAAGGGATAGACTATATTGGTTTATTATTTCTAGTGCTGTAGTAAAATAAAAAATATATAAAAAACCTTCTAGTGCTGTAGTGACATCATGCTCTCAACAGATGGCAGAGTTTATCTGCGTTGTGAAAACAACTTCATTCAAGGCATGACAGAATAGAGTTGAATCTCCTACAGTAGGTAAGGAGAACATATCTCCCAAAACTCCAATACTGAACCATGCTGTGGCACTGTAATACATTCATATTAACATATTAACATATTCTCTGATGGAATGAGTGATAAAAATAGGTTTGGTTGACTGATGCTGCTTCTCAATACAACAATATCGTATGTCTCTGAGAATGTATTTATTTAAAGTCCATTCTCTATCCTTAACTGTTTTCCCTGCTCCTCCATATTAAGCACTCAGGAACAATATTGCGTAGGGGGGGGGGGGGGGGTGACAGAGAGAGCGAGAGAGGGAGGAGAGAGAGATAGAAAAGGGCAACCAGTGAAGAACAAACACCATTGTAAATACAACCCATATTTATGTTTATTTATTTGCACATTGTTGTATATAGACATAATATGACATTTGAAATGTCTTTATTCTTTTGGAACTTCTGAGTGTAATGTTTACTGTTAATATTTATTGTTTATTTCACTTCTGTTTACTATCTACTTCACTTGCTTTGGCAATGTTAACATATGTTTCCTATGCCAATAAAGCCCTTAAATTGAATTGAAATTGAATTGAAATTGAATTGAAATTGAATTGAAATTGAATTGACAGAGATAGATAGTGTGTGTGTGTGAGAGAGAGCGAGAGAGATAGCGAGCGAGAGAGAGAGAGAGGGGAATAGAGAGAAAGAGAGGAGTGTGTGAGTGAGTGAGTGATGGAGAATAATATGATGTAGTTGTGGTGATTTAGTACAGGTGGCACACAGATGGGACCCCCTCTGGGACCTGGAGCCGTTAATGAGTCACTGCCAGAGAGCCTGGGGATGTCATCATGAACCAGACACATCCCTCTGGCACGGCAGGATAAAGGTACCCGGTGTGCCACTCCCCATTAACCATGAGATTCTTCCCAGTCATTTGATCTGTGGATTACTACCCACCCCCAAGCTGGCACAGTTTCAGTGTGGATGTGGCAGATCAGGAAACAACACATTATGAAGGGAAATGCTGCATGCAAATTTAACCAGGATTCCAGAATGATTATGCTACTGATGTAGAGCTGTAAACAGTATACCAAACATTAGGAACACCTTCCGAATACTGAGTTGCACTTGGAAAAGAGACCCTTAATCCCAGATTTGGGACCACACAGCCACTCCACTGAATAGCAAGCTAGTGATTGCTTTGCAATGCTTACAGTTAGCCACTGATTCCTTCCAAACCACTCATTGTTGAATTTGCGATTTCGATCTTGTTGTGTAATGTTTATGTCCAATGGCCGATGAGCACTGATACGTTTTATCTACAATTTCTCTTCATTATTTCTCTTCATATGACAACGATTAAAAAGGATTTGCCAGTAGATTGTCGACTTGATTCATGATGATGACTGCTAGCTAAGATTTTGAAAGTATGATGTTGACATGATCAGTCCAATCAAAGCTACTGTAGATATAACGTGATTTGATGTCATTCTATCTGTGGTCAATGACCTTGAGCCTTCTTGGATGGGCACTTCTAATGTAACTCCATGGCAGCACACAAGGGGCTTGAATTTCCGAGCTCTACCCTTAGACTTGGCGGTGACGTAGTGTCCCCATGAGTGACAGAACACTGAGCCAATCACGGCACAACTAGAGAACATTACCAACACCTACACTCCGTATTTTCCGCTGGCTGCCCCACCACCACAGAAAGCACTGAGCACCTGCATTTTGGAGCTGCCTTACTCAAGAAAGCAAAAAAGAGACCATGTTTGTATGCTGCTTTATTAAGTAATTGACCTTTTATTGATTTTTTACATTGTTTGCAAACTGATATGTGACACGTATTAATGCCCAAATAACATGCAAAACAGGCAAGCCACCCCCCAAAGGCTCTCATGCACAACTATGTGAAGGAGTGGGTCCCATCGTTTAGGAGAGGACTCTGTGTGGTCATCAGAGAAGGAAATCCCCTCCTGCCCTCCTGAACCCCAGTCACGATTATGGGTCATATGGTCCAATTATCCAGAAACATCCGGCTTTAGTCAGCAGAATATAGAGAAAGCCTGCAAATGTCTCTGTATCAATATAATCATCATCTGAGGTTGACAAATTGCCTTTAATCGTTTTATCTCTTCTCACCTTCCAACAGAGTAATTTCATCCCACATTGATTAATCAATCTCAATGTCAGCTACTATCAAAGGTCAGGTATGAGGCTACTTTTATCGCTGTGCAGTGTATGTGTGTGGACTGACTCTGCGTTGTTAGGGTGATTTCTTACCATGGTAATTGGACACACATGACGAGGGGGAGACGGCCAGTAAACCTGAGCCATTCCTGTCACGCCTCTTCTATTCACCAGCCTGGGCCCCCATGTGTGTGTATCCGTATGCTGTGTGTGTGTGTGTGCAGAGTGTGATAACACACCAGCATTCTTCAGTTGTAAATAATTGAATCAGGCTATTTAAGTCCCCTCAGAGCAGAGCTGTAATTTGGTGCAGTTTTGCTCTTAAGGACCGGTAATTATAGCTGTTAAGGACTTCCAAAACAACTCAAGACCTTCACTTCTTTCTCCAAGTAGGGAACAAATTACATCTGTGCTGTTGGACATGTCTGGACAAGGTGCTGTATGAAAAGACACATTTTCCAATTAAAATGCGGAGACCAAATTCTGTCCACATGCCTAATGTGATCGAATACTCTCTCACTATATATATGTTTACGAATGATAAAAACTCATTATTGTGAATGATAAAAGTCATTATTTTGAAGACACTCAAGTGGGTAAACACATTCAGTACTCTATACATAGCCTACGTCACAGGTGCCTTCTCTGTGCTGGCTTTGAAGACCATTTAAAAGCTTCTGACCTGCCTTGGCGATCTCAGCAGAGACAGGAGAGTTCTCCATCTTTATGTCTCAGCTGTCCATCTGACCACCATCCATGTGCATACCTCATAGTTAACCAAGACACAGCTTAATGTTCTCAGAACAGAACCGTCTCTGACACACTAGAATAGAAAGATGTGTTCTGTGCGCATCGCTGGGCAACGTGGTAGTGTTACCAGTCATGGTCATGATACAGGAACAAGCTCTGGGTTTCAGACTCTCTGTGTTTCATCCAATGAAGCCCTCTGTCTTCTAACTTTAGAATTGCACATGACCCTGAGTGCCATGCATGCCTGGGGCAGTGGAATGTCAGGAACATTGGTTAATTGGCTGTTACATTCTAAGGACATTCTATTTAGAGTAATCTGAATGCTCTTCATGAGTCCTAAACTGACCACGAGAGACTGCCAGTAAGAAGCACAAACAGACATAACAGATATATCTTTGTTAGCAGTTTTCACAGTAACGGATGATCTATCACAAAACTAATGTGCCACACTTCTTTTCAGTCTCTTTGTTGGCCTGCAGTAGTTTAGCTTCATTTGAAATATGTAATCGTCATTAGCTTAGGCAGGATCAACTTAATTCTACAATTAAAATGTAAATTGAAAGACAAGCTGTTCTCGAGTTGGCATGCTTTGGATGTTACATACTTTGACACCTACCATGCTTTTCACAAGCCCCCATACAAACACCATATGTTAAACATGTATAGAAGTATTCAAACCGCATTCCCATAAGAATGTACTGTGTAAATATGACGTGGACCATGACATTCAGTAAGACAAATAACAAACATGTTATAACCACTAACCAGAGCTATATATTTAGAATAAATATATGGCTCTGGATATAAGTAATTGATCATACTGGGTTGAGTGAGTTTATCCATCCACAGAGATGTGTGT